TAAGAAACATGTTAGGGTCTTTGATGCTTCCCTGGCAATTTCCTTAAAGAATTTTTTTAAATTTGCCACTACTTTTGGAGCCTCTGCCAAGTAAATAAAGTGAAGCACAAGCCATTAAAGCGCTGCTAATTAAAATTCAGCACGTTTTCACTGGCTCACAGTTGAGTCAAGTTAAGTTGAGGGTCATAAGCCAAACCATAAAACAGCCGAGCGAACGACCACCGCCCAGAAGCCATCAAAAATATTGTAACACATTTTGCCTATTAATTGCAAGCACAGTTCTGGCTCTTTCCGGTCTTCAAAACTCAGATGGCAGCACAGAATTCACAATTTGCCACCTTTTACCGCCAGGGATCTGCTGGTTACTCCAATGCGCTCATTCTAATGAAATTTCGCAACATTGTCGGTGGGATTTGGCCAGGCCAGTTTGCTGAAATTGTGTTTCCCTTCCAGTTAAATAATTCGAACGGGGTACCTATAAACTCATTTGAGTATTGGGAATCCAAATGGCTACGTGGCTTGTCGGGGTATCACATTTTGCAGCAGGTGCAGCGGATGGAAAGTTCGTAAAATTTATAAGCCAAAGGGGTTGGTTGAGAATACTTTAAACTAATGTTCTTGTCTGAGTGTGAGTAAAAAAAAATAAAGCTTTCCCACAGATTTTAAATAATATGACGTCATTGCATCCCAAAACAAAATTGACGCAATTATCGAATTTTGAAGTTGATTTATACTTTCTATTTCAGCATGCCATTCGGGTAATTTCCAAAAATCTTTTTTTGCGATTATTGCCCGCATGTTTCTATGACAGTGGAAACAAATTGGCAAGGCAGAAATTTCCACCAAAAATAAACCGAATTCATATAGCAAATTGCACACTCCCACACATGGAGAAAATTTGATACACAAAGTTACAAAAACTCCAGCTCCCTCTAGGCCAGGAACCTAAGAAATGCTCTTCATTCTCACCTGGATATTTATGTGACTGACGAATGAACAGGAGAAATCGCAGCTGTCTTCAGTGAGTTTGAACTGAAAGTTCAAACATATTTATGGTAATTAAAATTGATTTGAAAAGTTTAGATTGTCTCTGTGGTCGCACTCTCTCTTCTAAATTTACAATGTTTCAGACTCAGTCTCCGGTTGGTTGTATACGGCGGATTTCGGCGACAGATCATACACATACGTATATACCTAAGGCTATAGCCTGCATGTGTGACAAAACTTTCTAATTAAAGTTGCTGCAGCCCCGCACTGAAAAGTTGTCAAGTTCTCACGTGTGTTTGTATTTGGCGAGGGCAAAGTTTTTGGTGTCGGCTTTTAGGCGCACTGCGTAATATATTTTGCTTGGGCGGCACTCTGGCGGTTGTTTTTGGCTTTGCCGTCGATTTCCAGCGCGGTCTTGAATATGCTGGAACTTGAAACTGATTTTAATTAGCTCTCTATGCAATTAGGCAAACCTCGTCCTCTCTACAAAGCAAAGACTTGAAATTGGTTGAAATTTAAATATTTATTGTGCCTGTTTCTAGCTACATGATATTTTCCCTGAGGCTCTTGCCAGTTTAAAATTGGTTTGTTATAAATATAGTTGCAGGGCTTTCTGAACTGAAAACGAATTCAAACATAACATGAAAACTGGTAAAGAAATTGTAAATGAAAATAGAAGACAACGACTGCCCGCTGCTTTGCTCTACAGCTTGGCAATATTTTTAAGTCTCCCATTCAAATTGAATTAAATAATATGCACTCGACTCGCAAACAGAACTTTCCCCGAAAACTTAACTTTCGCTGAGCCTGCCTGAGGGGCTGGGGATGCAATGCAAAAGGGTAAGCAAAATAAGGCAAAGAATCCGAGGGGTTGGCAACAACTTTCATAATTCATTTCTGCCTGAGTGTAACAATTTTTGCACTTTACGACTTTCGAGTGCGCGCTGTGCTAGTGCCTTGAGTTTGACTTTTGGGCCCGCAAATCATGCAACTGCAACGGCAGAGGCAGCAGCAGCAGCAACTGCGGCATTCGCACAGCGGGAACTTCAAGTTGCAAACATTTTTGGATGCATCTTGCCCCTCCGTTCTTCTTTTAGCCACATCTTTGTGCTAATTACAGGGGCAGCAAGGAAGTAGACGGCGTTCACCACTTGGCAACAGCCGAAAACAAACTTGGGCCAAGAACAACAATCAGGCAATGAGAAAACAACAATAACCATACAGGCGACCCTTGGAATTCTAAATGGAAGGAAAATATTTAACTGAACTAGATAAATACATTGTACATATATTATACATATATTTATGTAGCATATGAGTTATAGCTTTTAATAAGTTTCAATATTAATTTTTGCAAATTACAATTGATATTGTTTCGTCAAGCTTGTTAACAAACACAATATACTTTTGGTATATTGCATAAATTCCTGCTTTATTTTGAGAATAAAAATAAAAGGGGAAGGCAAAAATGAAACCGAAATTCCGACAAAAAACATGCCAAAAGGCAAGGACAGGCTCTTGACCAGGAAGTTGTAAACGACATTGGGGCAGGCGTCCAGTTCCAAGTCAAGCCGGTCCAGAAGGGCTTGAACGCAAAACAAAGCCTTCAGCTTGCAAGTTCGTGGCGAAAAGCAAACAGATTGGCAGGCTAAACGACCTCGGGCCAAGTGCTGGTACCTACCTGTTCTCCCCAAAACAGGCAGGAAGTGGGGCTAAAAGTGCAGCGCTTAAAATCTTGCCTATGGAATGCCGCAAATATTTACATTTTTTGTAATTAAAATCACTCTTACTCTCTTTTCCTTAAAAAGTTGTATTTTTATACATTTTTAATGTTAAGTAATTTCTAATTTAATAGTGTAACTATTATTCATAAAATTTTATTTTTTAGGTATAAATAAACATACCCAAAATTAAGTGAACTTGAACTTGACTTTTAAAGAGGCGCGACAGCTTCGGGCCTGTAGGAAGTTGTTGACAGAATAACTTTCCCAAACTAAAAGTTACATAAAGATACAAAAGTTCAACGGTTCATTAAATATGCCAGTCGCTAAATTATTGCTTGAATTGATTTTCCCAAACTTTCATTTGTTTTCGGAGCCATATAAACAATTTTATCGACTGTTGTAGGGAAATTTAAGTAAGCTTTAAAATTTATTCAAATCCCTTTTTACAAGATCTGTGTATTGACACATGTGCTATTTCGTTGCAAAATTCATTTCTTTTGAAAATGTGGGACTGGATTGCGTTGGCATCTCTTCCGTCCATAAACATTGCTTATGTCACGCATTGACACGCGTCGTTCTTCTCAGAGAACAACAAAATTTTTCGATTTATATGCCCCAGCAACAAAAACAATAGTAGTATCGACTGATACAACCAACAACATCCAACAATCCTGGGCGCAAGACAATTGAATGTGCGCGAGTGCCCAAAGGACTCGCTCCTGCAGACGCAGTTCGATGTTCGGAATTCGGAAATGGTCTTATCGCCCAGTCACTCCCACATAAATATAAATAAACATATACAAATAAATAACGGGGACATGGGAGCTGGAAAACGGAGTTGGTCATGGAACGCAATCGAAAACAATAACACCGCAAATAAAAGCGGAAGGAGGCGGCTCAGGAGTCGGTGAAGTGAAATACTTAAATAACTCACAGGAGGGGTCGCAATTGTACATATATTTTACGTTTCGGCCCGGGTTTTTTCGGTAAAATAATAAGGAAATAATTAAGGGGAAGTTATTCTTGAAGCAAAGAAAAATTATTTCATTTTAAAGTAAATACAACCAGAAGACACTTTAATACATATTTAATTAAACAAACACCTTACTTTTTCATAGAAAAGTTGATTAATTATTTTTTAAATACCTTGCGATCCAAAAAACGTTCGATTTAACACAATACATTATTTCAGTGGGTCGATAAGAATCGCTTGAAAAATAAATCCACTTAGGCCACATACCTTAGGCAACATAATGCAAAGTCAAAACTATTTGCCAGAGCTTATCAAAAAATACCACACGAATCTTAACAATGGGCTGCCGAGCAATTAATCTCATGGAACAAAACCGAACAAAACAAACCTCACGAAATCCGGTTGGCTCTAATGCGGCTCATAATTTATGAGACTTCGCACGCACAAAAAAGTCTGGGCTACGGAATCGGCGTCAGGAATCGGCGCTCACAAAATTTGCATAAATTGAAGATGTATCAACTGAAATTGAGGTAATAAAGCCGACAAAACGAACGGAGGGCCCTATCAGAACCCGGGCTTTGATGACGAAGATGCTGATCTGGTATCGTCGGCCCACTTGTAATTGGCACTAATTTGCTTTCACTCCATTAAAGAATCCCCCCACGATTTAGATGCAAATGAGGGCGTTCACTGAATAGAGAATGGGCGTCGCGACTAGAAGAACAGGTTGGCGCTGTGCGAAAGCCATTAAAATCAATTAAGAAATGGAAATAAAATCAATCTCCGCGCTCAGCTAATCACTCCTCATGTTTGTATGTACGAATGTATGTATGAGGAAGTGCCCCAAACCAGCTTCGAATTTTTATCAAAATTTATGCAAACCGTTGACAAAAATGCTTAAAATTACATTCTCTCTTACCGAGACTAAATGAAACATCTGCCAGTGTGTGACAACAAGAATCAGATACAAGATTGGAGATACACGGTACAAGATACACGACCGTGAACCTCAAGAGTTCACATAATCAGCTGATTCGGCATCTTATGCTGCTGCATTCGGCTTAAACATTTATTAAGCCAACTAGCCGAAAAGAGAGGCCAAGATACAGGTAGCAACCAAGCTCGTGCTCGTCTCCCAAACCAAAATAAAACAAAATAAACCCCCGTTTTTGACGCCGTCCTAATCCGGTTATTAAACTTTACACTGTGCTGCAGGGTCGTGTAAAGACTCGTTCGAATTGGTTTCAGAAAGATTCGGCTTGCACCGACTATAAAAATGCTGCGCATGCTCAGCGACGCTTTTAGTTCGTTCGGAAATCTTAAAGTGATCGGTTCGGGACTCGAGTATTCTCGCATTAACCAATAAAATAGGATACCTTGCAAATATGTCACTTAAATACGTAAGTGGGTGACTTTACTGCATAATCGGGTATTCTTAATTGCTCCAAATCTATATGGAAATTGTGCTCCCAAGCTGGTCTTTCCAGAATTAGGATCCAAAAGAATGCTGCAAATTTGTTCTAATTAGCAATTTGCGTAAGCATCATTAATGAATATCCAGTTCGGCAACTCAAATAATTTATTTTGTTGCATAAATTATATTATGCAATTGGTTCTGATCGAAATATTAACATAATAAAATCATTTGTTTGATGAAGCAACAAAAATTTAAAAATAAACGACCAAATAAATATTTGTTCAAGCAATCATTAAGCCAGACAGAATAGAACTCAGGCTGTTGAGGCGACTGAACCTATTTTACATATATTTATTAGCCAAAATAAATTGCTTTATTATCTGAGGTGTGAATCAACGAACCATGACTACAATATGACTGATAGTTTCTTTCTTTTAAGCAAAAATTTGCATAAGTTTCAGGCTCGATTAGTTCTATTATAGCCACTATGATAATCATGGTCAAAAAAGGTCTAATGACCTTTCCCACGAGGGAAAGGAGAATTTCTGTTAGAATATAAATCTGCCATTAAAGATTCCAGTTATAACATGTGCCGTAACAATGCAAGGTTTTTTGCCAATTCGAAGGTCGACCCAAACTAACTTTCGAGCGCCCACACTTCCCGGGCAAAAACTGAACCAAATTTTAAAACTGGAATACATTTTTTTGACCAAACAATAGGGTCATAACTTAAAAGGTGTAAGCTGAAAATGGTCAGCAAATCACACTGAGTTATTGGGCAAGGTAACAGATCTGAAGCAAGATTTTACACCTTCGAGATTTTGTTTCTATTTTAACTAAAGCTAAAAAATGTACCTTCAAGTTAACTGATCAAGAAACATGTTACTTATTTAAATATTTATTTCATTTTTTCAGGTTTTTGTTGCATCTGCAGTGTTAATTGCCTTATGTGGAGCTGATGTCTCGCACCTGAAGGCGGATAAAATAGATTTGCCATTCAATGACTTACTCCCCCCACTATTGGAAGAATCCAGTACTTCCACAACGACAACTACAACAACGAGGCCAAAACCAAAGCCCATTACCACTACATTGGCCACTAAGCCTACAAAGAAATCTTACTACCAAAAGCCGGCTCAGGAAAAGGCCAAACCCATTGTGGCCAAGGAGGATATTCAGCAACTCTCCTTGGACTTGCTGCCGCCTTTTGAGGATGAAAAGCCAGCTGAGGAAAAGACTCCACAAGTGGTGAAGAGTGAGCCCAGTCCTGTAGTGAAACCAACTTCAAAGCCCGTGGTGCAAGCTCCAGCTAAGCCGATTGTCCCTATCGCTCCCAAACCAGTGGTGCACATAACTCCAAAGCCAGTGGTGCAAGCCACTTCCCGGCCCTTGGTACATGCTACTCCCAGGCCGGTGGTTCAGGTTGCCCCACAGCAGCCTCAGTACTCTGTGCATCCTGCCCCACAGGTGGTGCTGCCTGTTCACAGTTCTCCATCCAATTCCGGATTCCAGTCCCGATTCTCCAACTACTTCCTCACAAGCACTGTGCGGCCACGACGCGGTCCTCTGCCCACAATCACCCCCTTTCCGCACTTCGTCAGGCTGTAGGAATCCATATAATTAGATTAGATAAACAACTATGCAAAGGCCAAGTCAAAACATAAAATAAATAAGAAACGACACACTGAGATAATGAGTGGAAAATATTTGGTATTATAAACGACTGTTGAAGCATGAAATTCAGAAAACATACACACACTCAAAACTATGCTGATGGATCTTAAATAATTTATGAGCACACAAAAGCGAACATTTCAGATCAGAAAATCATAAATATATATCTTTAAATTTATACAAGCTGGTCTATATGTTTTTGTTAGCCCATTCAACCTATGGGCTTAAGAGGGGGAAGTTTTGAAAGTAAAAAGCTAAATAATAAATAATATTACTTATAAAAACGAAAAATGTATTTAATACAAAGAGCTTATAAATAAATATAAAAATAATAACTTAGTTGATGGCAGTATAATATACACTGTCATTTTAAAGTATGCCATTAAAATGCATATTAAAAGTTTATTGAACTGCAATTGATTAACACTTTTTTTAGAGTTTAAATGCCTTCTCATCAATCAAAATTATTATTATTTGAAAGCGAAATTCGTCAAATTAATATAAAATTTATGTTTTCATTAAAAAACTATAAAATGTTATGGATTTCATTGCTTTTCTATGCCCTGAAACTCTTTCTATTTTAACTGCATAAAATCACAAAAATAAAACGTAGCGTTTTGAGGAGTGGAGTGGAGCTGTCAACCCGATGACAACTAATTTTGAAACAAAGAGTTGTTAGGCCAGGTGTCACCGCTCCCCGTAAAATTTGCAAACTTGCTTCCTCCACTTGTCGCCCAAACAAACACATTCTATGTGTTCACAACCAAGCGGAATTCAGATTCATTAAGAGTGTTTAATTAATAGGAAAGCCATGGAAAACGGCTTGGCGCCGGCGAAACAGAAACTTGAGACGAAACTGAAACTGAGAACTGTCAACTTGGAAACTGCCACAAGCCCTCTCAGGCCCCCGGCTAATATACATATTATGACGCCGGAACATTAACCCATCCCGAGCACAGGTCGACCTGGCCCAAAGCCCCTCTTGAACATCTCAATGCTAATTACTCGGCGTTGATGATGTCGCTGACATTCGGAGCGTCGGAAATTTGACGCATTCCGATGCAAGAACCGTTGCATCGGTAATCGCACGGCTCCGCCGATCTAATCAAATCATTGCCATACCGATTAGCCATATTTATGGCTCCCGTTTGTCACCCGTCGCCGTTGTTGGCGGCTTGTTGTTGGTGGTGGCACTGTTTGTGGGCCTGTCCATTTGGCCGCGTTAATTACACGGCTGATTGACATTAATGCGTTGCGTCGGCCGCCGGGAATACTCCGCCGGCGATCTTGATGCAACAGCTGATTTAAATGGATATCTGGCCTCTGGCGCAAATGAAGCAAACATATCCATTGATTAATGGCATTAACATAAATTTAATAAGCTATTATAAACGATTCTGATAAATGCTTTATGCATATTTTGGGAAGGAATTCGGTTTCATTGTTTACAGTCGTTCACTGATATATCTTTTGCCTTGCTCACCCAATTTAAATGCCGATTAAAGTGGAATGATAGCCCGTAAGTGGCTATTACAGCTTAGGTATTAGTTACAGTATAGTTTCAATGGAGGTTACATAAATAGGCTTAGGCTTAAACATTAATATTCATAGAATTATTTCTTTCATGTGAAAATAAAAAATAATGTATATGCATTCTGTGGCAACACATATTATATTTTTCGCCTTTCCAACAAAATAATAAATCATGCATTTCACAACTTTGTTTTCAACATAGAGTTTTCCATGAAATACTCGGACAAACAATATTTTATTTACAAATAAGCGTATGCGTATGATTTTATTTCAGATATGTGCACTGCAATTCTGATGGAAAACTTTCCAATTAAAACGTCCAACTGTGTGGGGGCCACAATAATGGCACAACTACAAGTTCTCTACTCAATTTGGTGTAAACTTGATAAAACGATTTGCAATTGCCATGGCAACTTTATAAGCCGATTCGCATGATACTGAAACCGAAGCCCCTCAATGACACCGCGTGACAAAATCATAGCTATTTAATAAGCTTCAGTTAATTACTGACGCAGCCCGACTCGTTCCCCTAAATGTTTCTAACAGGAAAAAGCGCCATTGAGAAGTGAGAAGCCGAGCAACAATTTAAATGACACTTGGATAGAGATGAGTGGGCTTTATCCAATTTCGAGGATGCTTTGAATACTCTCAGTAGGGTTGAAACACAACGGGAAAATACCATTGACAATTAGCTTATTTTCTACTGAAAATAAACTCCTAGAAACATAATGTGCATTACTATGTTTTATGTGCTTATCTTTTATAGGGCTTACGTGGCGTATGAATAATTTTTATTATAAAATATATAAAAAAAAAATAGATTTTATATAGTTTTAAATCATTAGGACGGTTTTTATCCAATTACATATATAATGGAAAAGTAAATATATATCCTAGATATATCTTTTAATATCTAGAACTATGTGATTGTAAATTCGGTAGAATCTGATGCTCACTCATTAAAAAGTTTAGCGTTTGATGCATGAAAAGCCATTAGATGCTGGCCCTGGCATTGAAGGGAGCCATTTCCTTTATACTCCTGGCCCTTTACCCTCGGCACCCAACTCTTGTTTATGTGTGTATGTATGGATCTCGCAGCAGCATTAAAAATCGCTTTTAACAAATGGTGCCATAAGCTCTTAGGCAAACTTTTAATGTGCACACACAGCGACACCCACGAGCACACACACATAGGAGCACATAGTTGGTATCGCATAAGAGAGAAAGATTTATGTGGCCAACGCTGCGTATGAGTGTTGGGAAGCATTTTCAACTTTAACACGCAGACCGAAGTGTCCTACCCGCTGCTTTCCCCTTAAAAGTATTTAGATATATTAAAAGTGTCTAGACATTGCCACATTAGGCAAAACAATAAACAATTCACACAATAGTCATAAAATCAAAAGATACACAATCACTAAACGAAATGAAAATGTCCGAGTCTAATGATCTCTGAGACAAGTGGCTTTGTCCATGGTCAATAAGATCGGAACTAAAATGGTCACATTTATATTCCACTCGATGCAAATGATAGCCAGGCAGCCCTCAATCGACAATCATTTTTTACGCCACTTTAATTAAATTTTCCTGCTTGCCGCTCGGTATGTTAATTTTATTCCCGCCCAGAGGATAAGCAGCCAAAAGCTACGAAAGACGATTTTCACTTTTCCCAGCTGTCGCCGAATGAATTAATGACCTTAAGTGGATGGTCGGAAAGACAATAACTTCCTGCCACAATACCGATGTAAATGTTGGCACGAATTTTAAATTGATAGTAAATATTAAAGCTCTTGAGCTGTACTATCCAGACGTGGGCGGAACTTTGCCTTTAAATGCAATTTTTCTGCAACTTTTCTCATTTGGCCAGTGCATACAATAATAATTTTAATATGGCCATGTTGCAGGCGGGGCACACAGCCGGGAATCGCTCAGTCGACCACCCACAATATCCCTTTAATTATGCTATGCCAACAGGCAGCATTCAAGCGGGAGGCGAGTGGCATGCAGCTCGAATTTACATAAGAGCAACCAAGTGCCGAGTGGCGAGTGGCAACAACAACTGACCGAATCCATTGAAGTATTGACGGTCGAATCAATGTAGCGGCAACGTTGTTGCCAACGTTGCTGGCCATTAGCCGACATGTCGTATGCTCGCTCGCATAGGGCCATAGATGCTCCACCCAACCGTTAATGTCTCGGTTCAGTTACAATAACGGAAATGAGTTTTAATGTGAAAATAATTGCATGTCATTGACGTTGACAACAGCAACAGAAACAGACACATCCAGGACTTTCCACGGATCTTCATATATGTATGTCTGAACGAAGGGGGCGAAACAATGAACGAATATTGATATAATATCATTAAATTTCATTTCATATTTGCTCTCTGATGAATGACAGTCAGTTCAAGCTGCTTCTGCCACTGATTCTTGGTCTTCAGCTCCAGCCAAATGACTGAAATGGAAATGCAAAATCTTGACTCACATCTCGACGAAGAGTGAGAGGCGAGGCTTTTCTTTTGATTCATAATTTCCGGCCATAATTGAAATGTGAAATTCGCAAGTCCTTTGAAATACGGGTTTTTCCTTCAGCCTTCTCAAAGTATTTATTTTTCATTTATGCTAAAAGAAGGCCTTCAATATTCCAAAAAAAAAAAGAATAATTTTATTTTAATTTACGATATTTATACCTTTGGATGCTGTCCATATTAAATTCTAGCAAGAAGCCTTATGGGACTAAGCGTTTTTCTCTGTATTTGCGGATCAAAATACTCTTTAAAATGTATATCCTCTGAAAGCACACTAAAAACATCTCATTTCTTATTCCTTGTACAGTTTTTGTCCAGATTACTCTAGGTTTTAGTAGTGAATACCGAATATCCGTCAATCATAAATTTTGATTACAATTTGTAAGGCCACAGTCGACAAGCAAATTGAGGCGAATGACAAAATAGATTATCACAGCAAAAACAGGAAAATGAAAATGGCTAAAAAAACATCCTCAGCACGTCTCTGGACAAGAAATGAGTTGAGATTGGACTAAAAATATGAAGACACAACCTAACAAACAAACAAACAATCAAATTGACCTTAGGGCGGAGATTGCGAGCCGGAATATTTGACATTAAAATAAATAATTCATTTATTCGACGACAAACCGTGTAAATTCCCAAAGTCTAGAGTCTGCCGAGGATCTCATAGAAATTATTAATAATTTATTTTAGCACATTTCAAGGATTTTGCACGCCGGCCACACGTTTCGGCAATTTCCGGGCAACAAAACCGGAAAAATACTTGAAAATGTAATAAATTTGGAAAGAAAATGGGTCGGGGACGATGGCGGAGTCCCGGCCGGCCTGTCCCTGTCCCAGTCTGTTTGTTTGTGTCAAGGGTCGACAGCTGTGCAGGCGGGGCGGGTCAGATGTGAGTGCTTGACAAACTGTTGCCGGGACCAAATCAATGGCAAAAAATTACA